TGTGTGTCACTTGAAATCTGCTCCAGCCCAAAGTGGCAGACTCCAGCTCTCATAGTGGCTGTGGCTGATCTGCCGACACAGAAGCGTCTGGTACTCTGCCCAGGAGCTGGATACAGAACGGGGCCGATGGGGGTTCATTAAGTGCCTTTCCCTGGATGAGAGTATTGACAACACTGTGTTGCTCTGCTGCAGTGGAACTAACGCAGCTGCAGCTGGGGACAGCAGTACCTGTACGTCTGCCAGGCCAGTGCTTCTGTCCTTTATTTGCCACCAGTGTGTGGCTCAGAATAAGAGGATACTTGGGCTGCAATCTTAAATTTCTGAGCAACTTTGCTGACTATAGGAGGGGTGAGGGAGAACCCAGAACTAGCAACTGAGTAAGCATCTCTGCTGCTGCGACTTCTGGTCTTCCCGAAGCCCTCGCCGACATCAGTGCATGCAAACTGACGCCTTTGTGGCCCTTTACAATTCTGAACATGCTGTATTTATATCCCATTCTTTCCTTTCTATTAACTCCTCTCTTCCTATGTCTGTGCTTTGCATGCCGTAGTAAACTGAGCTTGGGTGTGTCAAACAGTGAGGACAAGAGGGGAGTATAAAAATGGTGTAGTAGTGTTTTACTTTGGCTTTATGAATATTTTTCAAGTACGCTGAAATTATGTGAAGCTAATAATCATGCTTAAATACTATAGAAAGTATGTATTGATGTATTGTGGACAAATTATTTATACTCTTATAAAAATTAATATCATTAATAGCCAGATGATTGCTCCAGACTGACTCCACTCATCAAAGCAGGGAGCTGTGGTATGTGGCTTTGCTTTGGTTTTTAAAGAGATGCTGTTGAAACCGTGTGCTGTCGCGTATAACCCGCCGGTTCATTCCAGGTGTGCTGTCACCTGCGGGTGCACCTGGGGCCTCTGAGCCGTGGCAGATGCTCTCGTATGGAAGGGGCAGTACTCTGTCCTGAAGCGTACCTTGAGTCATCCCCTGGAAATCCTCGTGTGGGACCAAAGCTGTCAAGTGTACGGGCAGGGCAGAGGTCCTCTGAACATCTTTGTCACGCCAGCACGTCTGGATTTTTGTAGGCATGGGATGTGTATACACACACCCCTCTACCCTTGTGCCGCCAGCTAGGAGGGAAGGCAAAGCTGATGCCAGACATCTGTCTGTACTTTACAAGGTATTCGTGCAGAAGCATTTTCAGCTATAATTCAACCCTCCTTTTCCATCCAAAGCAGGGCAACATTGTAGGAGAAAAGAATTCTTAGTCTTGGCAGCTAAAGTTTCTAGCTCTCAAGTCATGTATCAAACACTTAATGTGTCTGAGACCTGTGCCCTTTTTTAGCGTTATTTTCCCTTCTCTCTGTGCCTGTTTTTTTATTTGCTGTATTGCTTTTTACTCCTGATTCTGTCACCTTGACCGGAGGCACAGGTCATGCGACTGACTGATGTGATACAGCTGACCAGACCAGTGACTGCATCTCAGCTCACGGAAACTCTCTTCCCTCGCAGCCCACAGTCAGGCAATAGAGAGCTACTTCTGCAGTCTGGGCAGCAGCACCCAAGCTGCCTGGAGAAAATGATGCAGTTCTACACGGATAACTCGTAGCTAAATTAATTATGATGGGACTTAAGTCCAGAAGAAACATTTTACTGCATGACTAACACACGGTTTCCTGGCTGCCTCCAGGCAGATGAAGCTGGGTGTAGACAGCAAGCTGCCTGGCTGTGACTGCATGCTGCCTTCTTGCTTCATGTGCTGAATTATCTGATAGTAGGAGTGGGTCCATCTACAGCCCTGTAGTCTGACCTGACCCATGCTCTCCCATGTCTCTCTCCATCCCAGGGGTGATGCAGCATCTCTGGTTAAAATGTGAATTTAAAAGGCGCACACATATGGTGTTGTCTTTGGATAAGAGGTATTGGGACAGAGAAGGGGAGGCTCTGCTGGCAGGAGGTGTTTCTTCAGGACAGTGTACGGTCCCATACCATGTAATACTCTTCTTTAACCTTCTATTTATTTATTTTTAAAGTATCTGTGTAGCAGAGTTGTGCCCAACTGTCTAGTAATGCTGTGATCATTGTAAACACTAATTACAATACCCAATTTTTGATGTTCACAATACCAAGTTCTGAAATAAACGGCTTCCAGGCCCTGACTATTTCCACAAACTGTCTGACTCCAGAGCCTTTTTTTTCTTTTTTTTTTTTTTTTTCCTTCTTTTTTTAGTTACTTTTTCACTGTTACCAGACCCACTGTTATCACCTGCACAAATGGCTTGAAGCACTGCTGTAGTCTGCAAAGACAGAGCTGCACTGCTCCGTTCCTGGGCTGTGACATGGCTGCTTCCTGCCTTCTGATCCTCTTGGTCTCCTCACCTTTTTTCATCTGCTTCTGAAAGAAGTTTTAGTTCAGCTGACTGTTCTCAGGCGTGAAGCGCGTTCCCATCACAGCACCCCTGCTTTTTAGCAGCGTATAGCCCTCTTGACATGGCAGTGGCAGACGCTAAAGAGAAGAGCGCGTAGAAAAGGAACAGGATTTTGCGCATGTTGCAGGAATTTACTTTGTTCAGAGCAGATCAATATTTAAGCCATTCTTTGGTCAGCACTCAATCCCAAGGCATTAATATGCTATGCTTAAAATTCTTCAGCTCTTCTTTGCTAACCAGAAAAATTCCTTTTCTGGATGGTGCGAGACAAATGATTCATCAGCTGCCCTGAGGATCTGACTCCACTGACTTGGAGAGGTTGAGAAGAAGTGGGGCTGTTGAGCGGCAGAGCCCATGGAAGTCTGATCCTAAAAAAGTTATGGTCCCAGGAGACAGACTGGATTTACAAGCGATAAATGATTGTAATATCTTCCAGCCCATTAAGTGAAAAACTGCCAAAACACAATAAGCCAGATAAGCTGTTTTGCAGAGCAGCAAGGAGCTGTGTAAAGTTGGATCCTTTAGCCCAAAGATACAAAAGGTGCAAAGTTAGGAAAAAAGAGCGATGTTGTTCACAGACAATGCTCTGGTTTGGCCCTTCACAGACATGGCACAGTGAGTGGTAGGTATCACTCTTTCTGATATGATTCATATCATAGTCCTGAGCTGCACTTCTCATTTCCTTTCCCATTCGTTTTCTCTCACAAAGCTGAGATGGCCATGTGCATCTGCTGTTTACATCTGTGTGTGTGGTGGGGCACATGTGTACATGCCTGTGCACTGGAGGACTCTGCACGTTTGCGAAGCATGACACCCTTCCCAGGTCCTCTGGAACCTGAAGAGGTTGGGCAGTTTCTGCTGCAAGACTGACGAGTTCCTTGTCACTGTTAAAGGCATGTCCTGCTTGCAAGCACCAGGAGGCTGGTTGGCTCAGCTGTTGTTCAGCCTGATTAAGCTGGTCGGGATTGTTGATGTCTGCCTCGTACTAGCAGATAAGTAGTTTTATAAGATATTTTCAGTTGTAATCTTAGCTCTAGACTGCTTCTTCTGGACATGCTAGCACTGCGTAATATTGCTGCATCACCTCTTTAATCTCCAAGACAGAATGGCAAATGCATAAATAGCCTCGCAGTGCAAGATTAAGACACTTATATTCCTTCACGCTCTGATTTAGTAGTGCCTTTCCTCTGACAGAAGAAAAGCCATGTTGCTGCTTTCATCTGTCTCAGTGTTTTCATCAGAAGTGACTGATCCTCCAAATGTTACAGCTTGATTATATGCTGCAAAGTCTGTTATATCCATTTTAAAATATATACACTTCATACTTTGTTAGTACTTTCTCATGACTTATTTGACAGGAGTACTACGTGTTTCTAACTAAACATAAATCTTACAGGAGATCCTGGAGAGATGTTGTTCATATGCTAGATTTTCTTCCATGTATTTTATTCAATTGTTAAAAATACTACAAAATTCCTATACTTTCAATACTCCAACCTTCTTAGAATGCTCATTTTTGTGGTGTGAGGACACCAGTGAGACTCCAAAGCTGACTCCTCATTTCTGATGCAATGCAGTCAACTAAACTGTACACGTAGACTAAGATCAGTGTGTGACTGCAAGGAGGAATAGAAAGAAGGTAAAAATAGTAAAATTTTTACAAATTGTTCAGTTTAAGTTGATTCTTAAATTTTAAACTGCTGCAAAGGTTGGTGATGAAATGGGGATATCAGAAATTAATTGCATAGTTTGTTTGTATATAGTGACTGAGTGTGAAATACTATGGCAGTGCTAGCTGCAAAAACTGTTTGAAATGCCAAGTCCTCTTACACAATTATTTTACCGGTGGAATAGAAGTCAGTTTGTCTGTAGCACTTAAAAATCAAGCTAACGGGTACAGGTGCCCTTAGTATGTTTTGTCTGTTATCTCTGGTCTTGTGTTCTCAAGTTGGATATACTGTTCTGCAGCTCCCCTCTTTCACTTGGAAAGAACCCACTGAAAACAACTCGCAGAGCTAGAAACACGATTGCCATTATTATTGCCAATTCAATTTTTTTACAGGCACTATGATAGAGATTGTTTTTTATGTGCTAGAAGCAAGACACAGTGTATGCTACAGGAACACAGTTCCCTATGAGTGGCTATGCTAGTACATATTTGTGGTTAATTATGATATGCAGAGAAAAGAAAATGTAATGGGTTAGGCCTAAATTTAGGACTGGAGAACCCAGGTTTGTGTCTCTGCACAGGATTTTTATGTGACCCTTGACAAGTCGCTTAGCTGCTTTTTGCTTCTCTTTCCCATCTGCAGAATAAGGGTAGTGAGTCTACAGGGACAGGTTGGTGCACGATAATTTAAGTAAGGTTGAGCAGTTCTTACCTCCCCAGTTTCAAAAGTGTAGGAACATTCCTGTAAACTCTTAAGCGTTCTGCATCTTGCACTCTTGCACTGAAAAATTAGCACAAACCTAATGAGAAAGCAAATGTTCATGCAAGAAGTACAGCTGAGAGAGGGAGTCACTGGAATGTACTTGTTGCTAAATGTCTGCCATGTGTGTCATTTGCAGGTACCTTTCTGGGGATTCGATTACCCTCTTTCCCAGCGGCACTGGGACTGGCTTCGCTTCCCCTGCTACGTCTCTCTTTGTCCCAACACCACCCAATATTCTCCAGCTGACAAACCAACAGCTCTTCAGGTCTCCACGCAGAACTTCCTCTTCCTCTCTTCCCGGTCGTCTCAACAGGGCACTCTCGCTGGGCACCATCCCCTCCTTGGCTAGGGCAGGTAAGTGGTGAGCCTGAAACTTTCTGGTCCCGTGGAAATGACAGTGGAGTGGTACAAAGCTTCAGAGGGCAATGGGTTGTGAGGTATCCACATGTTACAGTCCTGTTTAGGGATTGCTTATCCCTAAACAGGCATGTCCAGTGTTGCTAATTTGTTTTTTGGCATTAAGAAATTACGCAGCATACCATTGCCATCTTGGTGAAACAAAAAGTCTCACGGAGTGCTTGCCTGCTGTGGGTTTACTGAAATCCAGAGGTTCCTCCAGGCATTCGTGGCAGTACGGCACAAGCAACAAGGCTATGTGTGGGAGAGAGACAGAAGCAGTTAGACCTGGGAATGGAGAAGAGCAGTTTTTGGCAGTGATTGGGAGCGTTAGGATAACTCGTCTGTCAAGAGCGATTGCTCCCTCCCTTCTAGCTGCTTTGTGTAGTTTGCTTTTTGCGCTACAGCTGAAGGGAGCAGAGCTGAAGGCAGGCTCTTCCCAAAGTCTGGGTTTGATATGCATTAGCACAACTATTGAAGCTGCTTTAGAGACCTCATTTCCCCTTGTTTTTAAGGGCTCTGTGCGATCTATGGAAGATTGATAGGTTTCAGGAAGGACTCTCTCAGTAACTCATTAAACTCAGTGTTGCTGTGCTTGAAACTAACAGATGGGAAATAACGTTCAAATGCTGTTCTCTATCCAAGGAAAACTAAGTTTTCCTGTGTCACTAACTGATTACCAGAGGACTGATTGTCAGAGGACAAAGCGTGGGAGTTTCTAGGATAGCACTGCAGCAAAGAGAGCAGTCTTGCAGGGAATTTTTAGTTCATTCGACATTTCTCTATCTTGCACTGCCAGCAGTTTTGCCAGATCCGCTAAGAGCAAGAGAAAGAGCAGCCGTGCAAACCTTTCAGCAGCGTGGCAGCTCTTGGCACAGCCCTTGCCTTCCTAGTTGCCAAAGTGCAAACGCAGCGGATGGCTGGGATTCCCCCTGCACACTAAACCACCCTCGTGAGGACTGGGCTTTCTTTTCCCAAGGTGCAAAGCCAGACGGACTGGCGAGAGCGTGCTGTCGGGGCTGAATATTTTTTGCGAACAGCAAGGTTTTCAACTTCCAAAACTGTTTGCCTATAATGATGTAAATCAAGTGCCTTAAGCTCTGAGGTTTGATTTGTAGCACTTCTTTTTCCTGACTTAAATACTTTTCTTTCTTTTTTTTTTCTCCTGCCTCATTATTATGGCTACTGTGCCTGACAGCTAGATGGGAATTCATCTCACCTTATGATCTACCCTTCACACTCTTTGCATGAGAAAAGGGTACAACCATATCTTTACGTTCTTCCTTTTAAAGTAGAGGCAAGCCAGGCTGTTATACAGTCACGGGGTTGTTTTTGGCGCCTGCTGTACAGATCTGTTCTGCTGCAGCTGGGAAACGTGGATTATTCTGATGCTGGCTTATAGCCTGCCCAGGAAAACAGGGACATTTTTCCTGCCTACATTTATCACCCGTCCCCTTCTGAGATTGATGACAAGATGATGCAGTTACATTTCTGAAGGACAGACCTCCAGCAGCTGAGCCAGCTGGGTTCAAACTGTTTCATTTTGGCTTTTTAGATTCTGGCTACCTGTTCAGCGGGAGTCGACCAGCCTCGCAGTCATCTCAGTCCAAGGAATCTCCTACATCAGGTAATGCACTAGGCCTTCCAGGGCAGTGAGTAGGTTGAAACACATGATCCCACGTTTAATTCTTCCCTCCCTGCTCACATCCCAGTGAAAATATCAGTTTTGCTGTCAGAAATGCTGCAGAGAGAGTTCCAGCTAAGAGTGGGATTGCGTTAAAATAAGGTGCTATATGTGTTGGATGTCCTTCTTCCTGGAGAGCTTGCAGTGAAATCAGTGAGACAAAGCAAGGATCACTTCCCTGCTCTACAGCTGAGCTGAGATGGCTTTGATAGGAGACTTTACACTGTTCCTAGGGCAGCTCTTTTAGTTCCCTTTCCTTCCCCAGCCCAAGGAATTGCTAATTTGGCTACCCTGTCTGTCTGCCCTTTCACTCTGGTGTCCCCCAGTGACCTGTCTGTTGCCCTCCTGACCCCACATGGATCCTTGGGCTGTTTGTGCTGCCTGAGGGTTTGCTGCTGGACAGGCAGCCACAGCCAGGCTAATACCCTTGTGCAGACCTCCTCGCATCCTGATACCCTTTCCCAACAGCCTTTAAAGGACACGCCAGAATGGTTAATTTGCCTGCAAAGAGCCTGTGTAGTGCAGGCTCTCCTGAATGGACACAACTGAGCAGAGAGAAAGCTCAGCCGGCTCCTGATAAACCCATCTCTAGTCGAAGTCATTCCCGAGTGTGCCAAAGCGCGTGTGGAATTTCTCCATGTTTTGCAGTGTGGGAACTGGAATGAATAAAGCATTTTAGTACAAGATTAGTTGGACGATTGCAACTCCCGTTCTCTTTTCTTGTAGAATTGTTAAAGAAAACTGTGCCTCTTGTATGGGGATTATGATCTCATTATTTTCTCTTTGGGGATGTTTCCATTTCAGAGCACTTTTCCTTGCTGTCAGGCAGCTGTGCTCCCTCCCACATCCCCTCTCCAGCACCGTCGGTGGCTGGCTCTGTGAATTCCAGCTCCAGTTCCCTGCGGTACCGCCGGCCGCTCATCAGCCCTGCCCGCCTGAACCTGAAAGGACAGAAGCTGCTGCTGTTCCCGTCTCAGAATGAGGTCCTGCTCACCCCAGCCAGCTCGGAGGAGCACACCCCCTCAGACAGCAACATCTTTGCTACCGAGTTGTCCTCCTTTCCAAAGAAGAACCTCAGCGAGCGGGGAATGCATGGTATGCTGGCAGCCTGCTGCGCTCCTGGAAATGCATTTCTGGGAAGGAGCTGGCTTGCAATCAAAGCCATACATCATCTAGGCCACACAATAGATGGGAAGCCTTCAGGAAAAACCCAGATGGTGATGACTGTTAGGCTACCAAAGCTCCCTTAAGAATCCACTGGCCTGGAGAGCCTCTTGTCTGCCAAAAGAGATGTTGTTTTCTCACTTAGTGGTGGCCCAGGGACACTACTACCACCAACTCCTCCCTTGTTTAGATAACTCTTTTAGCCACGGGTGTGGCAGTGCTGATATGGACGATGTACGGGACAAACATGCAGACAACTTCTGCTGCGCAGCAGTGAAATTTGCCTTTTGTTTCCAGCTCCTGTCCTCAATCCTTTCGTGATTTTACCAGGCAACCATTCATTACTCATGTCTAGCTTTCGTCTGGTAACTTCTGCTACTTTTGGCTTCCACTGGTGCTTGCTGAATTTTCGTATCTTTTTCTCCTTGCAGATATGAGATCTGCTGTGGAAGGAGGGAGTATCTGCAGTGATAATTCCATCAAAAAGGAGGATCACTCATCACGCTCATCTATGTGTGTGGTAGACACAACTTCCAAAGGGGAAGATTTGGCAGGCTGGAGAGGTAGGTGCAAGTTGTGCAAGTGCTTCATATATGTGTGAGCGTTTCTGTGAGGGTAACTGAGATCTTTCCTTAACCTTAATAAGGCTGTTCCTGTTCTTTGGACTGTCTGAAGAATACAGAGTGTATTTTTCAGACAGTCCAAAGTCACAGAGTGCTGAACTAGACAGAAGGAAATGGGTGGGGGTGTGGGTGTTGAGAAGAGCGATGAGATGAGAATAGAACCAGAGAGAGCAGTGGAATCTTTGCTGACAGGAAAAGTGCTTCATTGATTTCTGCTTGTGGTGAAAATGCTGGGCAAAGAGAGAGAAAGAACACAACATATGTTCAGTGTTATTTATCTCATCGATTCTTTAATATCTCTTTCTACTATTCCCTTTTTTGATTTGTGTTGTCCTCTTTCACCAAGGTCATTTTGGTAACTCTGCTCTCCGAGGTCTGCTAGCCGTGAGTCTGACTCTCAATGCTATCTTCACATCAGCCTATGTCTACCGGAGCCTGCGTTGATTTGTGCCAACACTCCGTTTCTTTCTGGTTCCACCTGCTTCTGAGGAGACAAGAAGAATTCAACCACGGCTTCATGTCTAATGGCCGTGCCACTGGTGCATGCTGTTTTTAAAAAAACTACTGTATGCTGAACTGTCATGACAAGGAAGCCAGGTAGCTGCTGCCGCCACTTCCAGATAGAACATATCACAGGATTGTCTCTGGAGGTGGCAGGCAGAATTCCCAGCAAATTCTTCAAAGCAAGAGGCCAGTCAAATGGCCCATGCACTTTCTTTCAAAGGAACTAGACCTAAGGCATGAGCCTGGAAATGTGTAAGCTACGTTTTTAGGAACCTATCCCCAACTCTTCTTTCTGACATATTAACCTCATGCTGATGGTGCTGGTAAAATGAGGAGAATCAGAACAAATGGGCTGGAGAAGAGGAATGGCTTAGTAGCTGGTGCTGGGCTTTGGCTACTGTAACAGCATTGCCAGTGGTTCCTCTTCTCTCTTCCCTTTGGCTCTGTCCTCTAAATTATCAGTGAATTTTCTTTAGTTGCCTTAAGCTTGCCTAAGCGTATGGGTGACCTTGGCTGCTCTGTCATATTGTTGCATCTTACATGTCCATGTGCTTCCACCTGGGCTGTGCCCTGAGGCCACTTTCACCAGTTGCCATTCTGGTCCTGCTGGTTCTCAGAAACTGCTGCCTGTCCATACCTCCAACCAGCGCTGTTGGACTGTAGGTGTGCACAAACCCCAGACAGACATCCTTTCCTAGCTTGCTGTAGAAGGAGGAAGCCTGCGCTTTGCTTTACCTAGGAGGCATTAATTCTGCTACAATTAATTCTGTAATAAGAGAGGATCCCTATGTGATTTGCACCATAGTCAAAGGGCTTCAGCTCGCAACTCTGACTGCTGGTGTTTTCACTGAAGCAGCAGCTGGCATAGCTTATTCTTGCAGTAAATCTCACAAATCTGTTCTATTGGAAGATACGTGAGGACCTGTCTGATTGTATACATTTATCCAGAAACCTGACCCCTCAGTCTGATACTGGGATTTGCTAAGTAACCATTTAAGATATTTCTTGCTGAGTTAAATGCCAGCGTGCTCTCAGTGAGAAATACCAGACCTGCTTCTGGACAGTTCAGCCTTCTGATTCTTCTTTTCTAACCCAAAGGAAGTAGCCCTAGATTTTCAAAAGCAGTTTACAATTTGGGCACTTCTGCTTTCAGGTCAGTCTTCAGCATTGCTTAGAATTCAGGGGCCATTTACGGTATTGTGCTGAATACTCAAAATCATTCAGTACATCTTAGGAAAAAAAAAATCTTTATGTTTTGATTTTTAAATCTCAAGTGCAGAGAGTTTTACCAATGTGTTCAAGGATACCTGGGGCAAAGAGAGCCAGCTGACATTAGCTATGTGTTTCCTGGAGCAGGACTGACTCTATTAAGAGTTTTTCTATTGTCTCTTCCTTTGGGCTCCTTTACCTCAACCTGCCTTTCTCTTTCC